CTCTTCTAATGTTGTTACGCAGATCCGACCTAGCTAACACATCAGCTTGTTGTCGAAGACTTTGACCCAAACGGTCTATGTCATCATTCCTTGAATAAAAAATCAGTTACAGAATATTATATTACATTATAAGAACAAAATCATAACATAATTTACCCGGAAAATATATACTTTACTTGTTTAACCTTCTGCAGTATGAGAATGTGAGAATACAGGCCAAACTCAGTGTCAGAACTTATTAAATTTTGGACTGCAACAAATAACAGCAAAAATTCCATCACAAGCTTCTTTAAAATGAAGAGAACAAGATATGCTCTTTGGCAGACCTAAATTATAGCTGCACCAGTTCAAATTGAAGACTGTAACACTAATTTCAATAGAATGGTAATGAAAATTATAATTAAACAACTTCATTCTGTGTGCCTAAAGACCTAGTCTTGTATTTGAAAAAATACTATATACCAGACTGGTGAATTGGTAAAGGAAATTATTTTCCATCTCAATGAGGTAGCTTCTAAATTTGTCGTAATACAGTGTGTCCACAAAGTCCCTTCGGGATTTTGAAAAATTGTGGCGCGCAAACAAATTGAGTTACCCTCATGCGATTTGCTGCAGATTACAGTGAAACTCTGGAAGTTTTTTACTGACCTCAGTAGACATCGATGTGGGCTCCCTTGGTAGCACGGAGAATGTCCAGACGATATTCAAGCTCTTGCCATGTTCTGTGGAGCATGTCCGCTGGAATAGCCGAGATCAAATTCCTGATGCGGGTTTTCAGGTCATCAAGTCCGTTAACTGGTGTTCGGAACACATTGTTCTTGACATAAACCCCACAGGAAAAAATCTAGTGGTGTTATGTCGGGTGAACGTGGAGGCCAAGGAATTGGACCGTCTCTGCCGATCCATCTTCCTGGAAATGTCCTGTCTGGGTACACGCGTACCTGCAGAACCCAATGAGATGGAGCACAATCTTGTTGCAGAATGATGTGTGGCTGTAAGTGCTCAATTTGTGGTACTGTGTACAGTTCCAACATGTCCAGGTAGGTGTTCATGTTGATCGTCTGCTCTTGAAAAAAGAAGGGTCCAATAACCTGGCCATGCATTACACCACACCACACCACACCACACATTCACTTTCGGACTATCGTGTATGTGCTCCCTAACAACATGTGGGTTTTCAGTGCCCCATATGCAAGAGCAATGTGTTCCGAACACCAGTTAACGGACTTGATGACCTCAAGAACTGTATCAGGAACACGATCTCGCCTATTCCAGCGGACATGCTCCACAGAACATGGCAAGAGCTCGAATACCGTCTGGACGTTCTCCGTGCTACCAAGGGAGCCCACATCGATGTCTACTGAGGTCAGTAAAAAACTTCCAGAGTTTCACTGTAATCTGCAGCAAATCGCCAATTGCTTCTGATTCCACAGCCCTGAAGCAAAGTGCATAAGTTCTACATATTTGGCAAAGCATACAAGTTATCTCCTTATGTTACAAGCATGATCCTTGGTGTTAACACAGAAATATAGGTTAAGTAAGATCTGGAACATTTATCAATTATCATCTCCATGTTTGTATAGGCCTAGAACTAACACATGATCTCCAGATCTATAATTATAATTTTTAAGTATTCCCCTCAAATGTGTTTATGAAATATTAAAAATACTTCAAATTGTGTGGTAAGTAAAATGGCTGCATTTGTTTCTTAGCCTACTTTCCTTCTCCTAAGGGGAAATAATTACATATATGAGATTGCCATGCAGTCTCTGTGCATATACCTTTCAAATTTCAAATCAAATGACCCATTTTTACAAATCTGGTATACACATGTGGTCACTGGAGACCATCCCAACCTCACAGTTATCTATTTCTTACAAGTGGTAAAAGAAATACATACACAAACTTATGTGGAAGTGACACTATGAATAGTGCCTTTTAATATAAGGACCTGAAATGATATAGAATAATATAGCTACAAAAAATCCTTTAACTATACACAATGACTTGAGCAAAATCATGCTGGCCATGTAACACAGTAACATACCGTTACCCCAGCCGGCAGCCCCATATTACAGGAATTAAATTCCCTATTCTCACAAAAAAACAGTTATAATATAAGGATTCTAATATACTGTATTATAACTAGGCTGATTTTCAATTTATAATTTCTATTGCAAGTCACTTCACATTTGGATATCTATTTGTTTCAACTATCACACAAACACACACAAATATCTTGCTTATTTTTAAAATTTGTTTTTGAAATACATTAGAATATGAAAATAATAAATTTGAAGAACATTTCCATGAATACAGAAACAACTGAGTTCAACAAGTCAATCAAATGAGACAGCAAATTCCTAAATCAAATCCTGAAATGGTCTAATATAATATGACGAAGAAATGTTTCAACTACACCTTTCAATAAATTAAGTTAAATCAAGTCACAGAGTGACTAACAAACAAACAAACAAACAGTATAAATCTGAGCTCTTACCAAAAGTAAGAATAACAAATCATCAAAATCAATATGAGCAGATGAATACAGTAAAGGAAGTAATTTGAAAAAATTAAATTTCAATGTCTTAGAACTACAGCACTGATTACTCACCCGGGTGGAAGGTTATTAAAAAGACATTCCACATCCGTTGCTGAAAGGTGATCCCGTTGCAGTTCGTACACTACAAAGAATTTCAGTAACAGTTCTCCTGTTCCGTCGGTCTGAGGTTGGACACGTCGATTGTCCATGTCTTCTTAAACAATGTTCCATTAAATATGAATGGGTTATTTGATGAACAGTGTTAACATATGATCGCTGTCTTCTGGATTGTAACACCATACAGCCTGGTAAACATTTCAGAGGTCCCTGCTACGTTCTTCTTCTTCTTCTGTAGCACTACGACCCTTTCAGTGTAGCCTTGGATTCTCTTGTGATCGATGCCCAGTCTTCCCTATTCTGAGCTTTTGTTCTCCAGCTTCTTACACCCATCTGTCCACGTCTTCGATCCACCAGAGTTTTGGTCTTCCTTTCTTAAATTTGCCAGGAGGTTTACTATTGACGATCATCTTACATCCTCTATCATCACTCATTCGGAGTATATGTCCAAGCTATTCTATCCTCCTTGCCTTTATTATAGCTACAATATCTGAGCTTTTGAATAGCTTCTCCAGCTCAATATTCATTCTAATTCTCCATAGGCCATTGTCACATATTGGACCAAAAATCTGCCTTAAAATTTTCCTTTCCCAGGACATAAGCATTCTTTCAGCTAGAGATGTCAAAGTGCAGCATTCAGATCCATACAATGCTATAGGTCGTAGTATAGTAGTGTACAACCTCACTTTAAGGTTTTCCTGAGAACTTGGCCTAGAGCATAGTAGCACTTATTGCTTTTATTTCTGTGAGGATGTCATTACAGCTTGTGTTTAAGGAGCCTATATATTTGAAGGACTCCACCCTTTCAAATTCCCTCCCAGCAATCTCTACAACCCCAGGCTCATTGGCTCCGCTCGTCTTGTTCAGCATGTACTGGCTTTTGGTGTTGTTAATCTCTAGGCCTACTTTCTTGGCTGCAGTAATTATCTCTTCCACGGGTTCTGTGAGGTACTTCATGCTTCTTCCCAGCGCCACCAAATCATCTGCGTATGCGAGTATCTGACTGGTTCTATTAAAGATGTGTCCTCCAGGGTTTGTTTTGATTGCTCTAATGACCTTTTCTAGACAAATGTTAAATAGCTGTGTAGACAGAGGGTCGCCCCGTCGTATGCCCGACACTGTTTCAAAGCTGTCAGATACCCTACCTTGTATTTTCACCTTATTGAAAGTATTTGTAAGGGTCATTTTCACCAATCTTACTAACGTTGCGGGAAATCCGAATTCTGTCATTATTTCTATTATTAGCTGATTTCTATCTATTCTATTGTAGGCCTGTTTGAAGTCAATATATAGTTGATGTACTTTGATGTTTCGTTCGCATGTCTTCTCCAGTGTAGTTGTAAGGTGATGAATCTGGTCAATTGTTGATGGGTTTCTCCTAAAACCACACTGGTAGTCTCGTAAACAATCTTCAACTTAAAGCTCCAGGCACTTTGATAATACTGCTGCAAATATTTTATAGGTGACGTTGAGGAGTGAGGGTAGACCACAGGCAGGACGTGCTGAGAACGCAGCGTCTGACATCTAGCGTAAGAGAAATGCACTAGCTGTAAATGCAACGCACATGCGCACCCAAAGGATGACTGGTCCGACATCTAGCGTAAGAGAAATAAACTGTAAATGTAAACATGAAGGTGTGGGAGCGGAAATCGAGGGGATCACATTGACAGAGGGGCTGAATGGTCGTATTCTGAGGGTCCAGCAGGAGGGGGACCTAGCAGCTGCGCATGCGTACCCCACATACATGACTAAACTTACCCTTTTTATCCTACGAACATGCACGCACTTGTTCTCGACCGTCATTTCCGTTTCAGCACTAAGCAGACGAAACTGGCACGCAGGGTTGAAAGTAGAACTCGCCAGGTGAAAGTCAACGTTTAGGAGAAAATTTGTGACAAATCTGAACCAGTGCTGAAGTCAGATTTGTACAGAGAATGCCAGTGTACTAAGGATCTAAGTGGCGTTGAGCAGCTATAGATCGTGATTAGGGGTTTCGTGGTTTTACTGAGTCTCTGCAAACAAATGCCGAGACAAGTCAACCTGCTCGATGTTTTCTCCGTTACGTTCTGATTACAAACATTAACATAACGAGGACAGGCCGCGTCAAATGTTGACAGTTATCAAACGTTTCGCCAAACACTGCAGTTGCCATCATCAGGGTGAATGTGTAGAGATTGGGACAGAGGTGTGAAATTGAGTCACACACAACGCCATGACTGTAATATTTTTAATTACAAAAAATAAAATCTAAACTGGTGGCAAACAAGGTATACCACATTATTAATCGATGTAAAATGCATGGTCCAATAGTACAGACACGAATTGAAATGTCAATAAAATATAAAAGTGTTGAATAATTTATTTACGACAGCAACAAATACAAGATTTTAAATTAACAGTCAATCTAAAAACATCCAAAATAAAATACGTCTTGCCAGGTAAATGCTCTGTACTTTTAAAATGGCCGTTCTGAGGTCGCTTTCCACGTTCATCGTAGAACGATACTTTGTTTTGATGGCTGCCACTGCTGAACTGCCTCTATCAATCGAAGGATGTTAAAAATATTTCAGCATATTGATTCCACCATCACATTGTATATCGCACAGCCACAGCCTATCATGACTTATTTTCGTTATAGAAGACTTACAATTAACACCTGCCATAATAATATAAGGTTTGCATTCCCCCCGGATCCCCTAGTAACACAAGGAGACTTCACGGTACACAACTCACTCAGAAATCACTTACTTCAAGGCAGCGCAGAACTTCATTTCCATGGACTTTTAACAAGTCACAACCAACACGCCTCAGTTCACACATGACACGAACATGCACTGAATGGACAGTTTCCATTTCGCAAGAGCTACAGTGAGTAAACGTCCGCATGCTTACGTTTATGATCGTGTACTGGAATTATGAGAAGGAATGCTGCGTTGCCAATTGTGGCAAAGTCCCTTTGAACAAAGATACGATTGTAAAGGCTCCCGCACACCAGAGCGATGTAGCGGTCAGATATTTCCTGCTTTCAGACAGGCAGCGATCTTGCGGGCAGCGTTCCGGACAGTGCAGCGATCTACTCCGCGGTGGCGATCAGATGCAGTTTGTCGAGTTTGATCGCTGCCCGCGTCATTGTGTGTTAGCATGAACAAAGAGTACAACAGGGCAACTTATTGAAGAAGTAAAATTATTTAATTTGTCGCATCCTGATTACAAGAATATAAAAAAGAAAGATGAAGTCTGGGAACAAATGGGCAGATCGCTAGGAACTAGCAGTAAGTTCACACATTTTCCATTTATTTTCATCAATTATTTATTATTTAATCTATTATTCATAGTTGTATACAAAATCACTTTAACGGAACAATTACACACGTTAATTATGTTAAGTAAATACTTAAACACTTATGTAATAAGTTTTCTTCATATTTATTTTATGACAACAATGCTTAATATACAAATACTGCTCTTGTAAATCAGTCTGTTATGTTAATGAAGAAGACTACAATAAATGGAGTAAAAGTACAGCTTTTTACGTATTGAAATAGTTAACAAATCTATCACGTATCTGAGCAGATAAATTAGTTGCCCTTCTTCCTTCTAGTTGTAGGTTTCCAAGAGACTCTGTTACTGCTTCTTGAGGTTCTAGTAAGTGCTCGAACCTCATACCAGAGTTTTTTGAACGCAAATAATTATGTAGAATGCATGTGGCCTTTACAATACATATAGTAGTTTCCACTTTTACCTGAATTGGCCTAAGAAATATCCTCCACTTTTGAGTTAAAATTCCAAACGCATTTTCTACAACACATCAAGCTCAACAGAGTCGCTTATTGTAGATCTCCTTTTTGTAGTCCTGTCTTGATTGTCTGTATGGAAAGGGGTGCATTATATTTGGGCGTAGTGGAAATGCTTCGTCGCCTATAAACACACAAGGAGTAAGTGCGTTCTGACCAGGCAAGGACCTATCTGCTGGAATATTATATGTTCCATCAGCTATCTTTCTCCCCATAGTCCATGCTTCAAAAATACCACCATCACTATTCTTTCCATAACCACCTACGTCTATACAAATAAATTTGTAATTGTGGTCAACAATAGCCATTAAAACAATCGAATATTTTTTCAAATAGCTAAAATAGTTTGAACCAGAATTATTTGGGCACTTATGGTAATGTGTTTCCCATCAATACTTCCAATACAATTAGGAAACTGCCATGTTTCATTAAAACCTAATATTGTTTCTTCCCACATTTCTTTTGTAGGTTCAGGCATGTAACTAGGCTGCAAACGTTTCCAAATTGTGTCACATACTTCCTTAACAATACCACTAACTGTAAAAAATCCCATCTGAAAGCTGTGGCCTATTGTGCTATAAGAGTCACCAGTTGCTAGAAACCTGAAGCAGAAAATATAAACGAAAACATTTGTCACTTAGGTGATATCTGCTTGTGTGCTTTACAGGTCAGGAGGTGAAGAAGAAGTGGAAAAACCTAAGGGATTGCTATGCTAAACACCTAAGAGCTGAGAAGACGCGTACAGGGCAAGCAGCGAAAAGTCTGAATAGATATAAAACTTGGCCATGGGTCCAGCAGATGTCATTTTTCAGCCCTTTTCTACAGTTTGCAAGTACAGAGTTAAATATATCCATCCCAGATTCTGTCCTTAATTCCGAAGTAGATGAATCTGAATCTATTCTGACTGAAGAAGCTGAAGGCACTCAACAGGCTGAAGTCATATCATCACATCTTCAACCTGGACAGGAAAGTTTTTCCAGACCAGCATATCCTCCATCCACCCATATTCGAAAAAGAAAGCATGGTGGAGAAACATCTCCCCAGCCTTCTTCTAGGACAAATATTGAATTATTTGGAAAATAGACCGATCGAAAACTCAGCCTATGATGATGTTGATTTACTCTGTATGGGATATGCCAAAACCATTAAAAAATTCTCACCACTGTTACTGTTGGTTTTCCCTGTGAAAGATATAATTTTGGTTTTCTCAATGTTAAGTTCCATATTGTTAACATCGCACCACTGATGTACAGAATCAATATCTGCTTGAAGCAATTTGCAGTCATTAACCGATTTTATATCACAATATAGTTTCAAATCATCAGCAAATAAGAGAAATTTGGAAATCTTAATTTTGTCACAAATGTCATTAATAAAAACATTAAATAAGAGAGGTCCCAAGGTAGAGCCTTGAGGAACTCCAGATAACACCGAGTAAAAAGAAGACTGTCCTAATATGCGAACAAAGGCAGATCTGGATGATAAATAACTTTGGACCCACTTAATGTAAGGAGAAGATAAATTAAATTAAATCTGTGGCATAACAGCTCCAGAGAGCCAAAGCCGACTAGCTTGACTGCTGGCCTCACGTTCACATGCCTAAGCAGAGGTGAACGATCATCCAACCAGATACAGGGTGACGTGTGGTCAGCACGATGAACCCCCAGCCATTGCTAGCTTTCCTGACCGGATTACGCTACTTATCATAGCTCCCCAATTTCCTCACGATGCTGGGTTGGCACCGGTCCCATACACTGGTCAAAAGCTCATGAGAAAATTTCTTCTCCCCCGAGACTCGAACCAGCACGCATTCCGTATCGCCGGTCCGAAGCATGATGCCTCAGACCACGCGGCTATGGCGCAGGACAAGGAGAAGATAGTCCAAAGTTATTAAGCTTTTCCAAAAGAATAGAATGCGGAACTGAATCAAATGCCTGCTTAAGATCAAAGTACACAGAGTCGATCTCTCCCTGTGAACAAACAGATGGCTGAACATCATTAAGGTAGGTAACTAAATTAGTTGCCGTAGATTTAGATTTACAAAAGTCATGCTGACTGGGGGTAACTTAAATTTAAAATAAAATGAAAGATGATAGTGAACAATACTTTCAAAAATTTTGGAAAAATTGTTTAAAATCGAAATAGGCCGATAGTTAGAAACTAAAGCACTATTGCCTTGCAGCTTGTTTCCATAATAAGGGGAAACTCCCACTAAGTAAACTAAGGTTAAATATGTGGCGTAAGAGAGGAGTTAATATCTCTGTACGTTTTATAATGAAACTTGGAATCTTATCAGGTCCAACACATTTCGTCGAACGAAGACGACTAATCACCTGTTTGACATCAGCATCGGAGATGGATGGAATATTAATGAAATCAGAGCAGGTGTAACCATCTGAGTATTAACAGAAGAAAAAAGATTTAAAAAAAGAGGAAAAATGGTCTGCAAAGGCTTCGGCAATTAATTGAGGCTCAGTAATAATTTTGTTTCCAACTTCAATTTGGGTAACAGACTGGTCATTCTTTTTAAATTTTGAAATATATTTCCAAAAGTGCTTAGGTTGAGATCTTAAATTATCATCAATAAGTTTCAACCAAACCAATCTATCTGCCTTAATATTTATTTTAACTAGACTACGATAATACGAAAAAATACTATAATAATAATAAAAATAATAATCAGACTTAAATTTCTTGAATTTCTTAAAAAACTGATTTTTCTTCTTAATATAATATATAAGAGAACTGAAAAACCAATGAGGATAGGTGGAATTCCTTGGTTTAACAAAAGGAACGGCAATGTTAATAGCCTCAGACACAGTAGCCGTGAGGTTATAAACTGCAGATTCAACAGAATTTTGTTTAAAAACGCATGACCAGTCAGTATTGCGCAAGGTCTCATAAAGAAACAAATAATCCCCTTTGCCAAAATTACGCCGAGGAATAGAAAAAGTGGTATGATAGTCAAACATTAATTTAAAGTCGAGAACAAATGGCTGATGGTACTTATCAGGAGCGACCATCGGGGAATTTGAAATAGACACGCTTAAATCACTGATGTTAGTGAAAACAAGATCGAGCAGTGCGCTATTAGGCACACACTTGTTGTACTGACAGAGCCCAAGAAAACATGAGGTAGCATAAATACAACTGCCTTTAATTTTGTTATAATAGTACGAATTAGGAATGGGGATGCCTTTAAACCAATCAAAGTTAGGCACATTAAAATCACCCAACATAACTACCCGGAAAAGATTTGAATTTAAATTTACTTCCAAAAATGTTAAAGTTTTCAACTACTTTAATGTCGCAATCAGGTGCAAAATAATGATTTCCTATAAGTAAATTATAATTATCTTTAACAGGAATTTCAATCCACACGCATTCTTTTGTGACCTCCAAATCTAACCTACGTTTGACCCCATATAATGACTTGGAGACAGCAATCAGTACGCCGCCTCCACGTTTCTTATTGGAAGTAAAATAGTCTCTGTCAACACGAAATACATAGTAGGAATCAGGAAATAAATTAGAACTCAATATAGTGTCATTAAGCCAGGTTTCCGTAATGCAAAAAATCTTGAACTTGTTGGCATAAACATTGTCAAAAAAATTGCAACAATTTGTCCACAGACCCCTGACATTTTGGTAAAAGATATCAAAATCACAGTAGTCCAGAGCCATAATCACTGGGGAACAGAGCCTTCCTCAGGCACAATAGGTATATTACCAGCAGACAAAGAACCTACTGTAATAGTTTTACCAGGAGTTCGGAAGGAATGCACTTGATCAGGAGTCAATTTACCATAAAAGGGGGCAATAAGGCACCCATTCCGCAACACACCAGTGTTATTTATTAAAGGAAAGTCATCTTCATTAACTAAAACATGAAATGACGCATATGAGTCAAATTTAGTTTTAAGTCTGGTGCAGACCAGCCTCTTAAGACTCAATTGCTCTATAAGTGCTCTTTCCACCTCAACAGATGTAGCGATTCAGGATCCTTAAATGATGGCAAGATGAGCTCCCTGTCGGGAGATACAATCTTCAAAGGAAGATCCGATGTGTAGGCCGATCTAGTTGCACGAACAGGAGTGTTATCATCCCTGGACGCACGAAGACTCAATACAGCAAGAAACACACTTAAAGGTGGATACACCACTACTCATATGAAACAAACATTCAGTTTCCGCAATTTTTAAACAAAAGAGATGATATCTAGAGCCACAGGGCCCATAGCACCTGATAAACCTTTGTTTTCCATAAAATGGTTTATTACACTGCGGGCAGCAGTCCTTGCTGGCTGCCATTCTACCGGCAGGCAGCACACCAAAACCCACAAAACACACAACAATTTGCTGACACTCGCAATATACGGAGCACCAACAAAACACGTCCGTTTACTACGACAGCTAATTAGTAGTAATTGTGATGTTAATATTTGTAATTACTTCTCAAATTTCTACAATTGTACACAATAAAAGGAATAATTACCTGCCTCCTCCTCATCATCAAACAGCGCTGCCATCGCGCCCGCCACCGGTGAGCGGGAGCGTTTAAGTGCCACACCCTTGCAAATAATACCAACATACTCTGAAGAAATCCAACCAACCATAGTTAACAACTTGACTTTGATGTGCTGCCATCTTTTGATCATAGTTGTAAAACTAGGAAACGATTGTGTAGGTCAAGCATGTCAAACTCAAAGGCTAACGCGGGCCAAATAAACAAGGTTCAAGTTTATGTGGGCCGCAAAAAAAAAAAAAACTTCAATTTTCATAGAAACGTACGTTTATTTCGAAAAGTATAGTATTAAAAAAAGAACAAGAACAACGATAAAATTAATGTTTTCTTCCTGACACTTGGCATCTCTTCTCTGCTACTATCTTTCCTACTTCGGGGGAAAACTTCTTCGCAGTGATTACTTTCAAAACTAACCCAAGGTGAATGTCAGTAATTCTGGATCTGACAGGAGACTTATTTCCTTTCATAATTGTAAATAACTGCTCAAACCGATAAGTACTTCCAAACATGGCAATAATTTTATATGCGAATTTTCGAGTATTTTCAAACCTGGCAGGTAAATATTTGTAAAATCCAGGCACGCCAACTTCACTGAATTTTGCCTTCAAATTAAGTTACGAAATTTTTATTAAAACGTTTCTTACATATCGTTATATTGGCTGGGCCGCAAAAATATTCGTTTTGGGCCACGAGTTTGACATGTTTGGTGTAGGTGGAAGACGGAAACATAATAATTTGTATTCCTAAAATATTATTTTAGGCCAAACGAAGATGAAGAGTAGGGGGAATACTATGAAACATGAACCAGAACACTTCTGATGAGTAATAGTGGAACTTTATGCACGCTCTATCCTATTACTTTCAGTATCTCTCTCTCTCTCTCACAGGTGGTCACGGATCTCACACATAGCATGGTTGTCGAAAAGAAAAGAATGGTAGTACCATTAGCCCAATCGACATTCTCTTACCTATCAATGCTGACAGAAAAAATTTCAGGTTCTCATGGTAGCTGGCGAGTAGGATTCTAGTAAAGGTTTGCTGGCGTTTGAAAGGTCCTCACTGCCACCATGATGATGGAGGCAGCAAGAATCTCTAAACTGTCAAACTGCTACCACACAAGATGCAACATCCCAGAAGGCTGCCATCTTCAGGACTATTGACATAATTATGAACTGGTTTAATCAGTCCCACATTCTATATTTAACCTATCAGAATCAATTCAGTTAAGTATAATAGTTGGTTCCACATGTCATTGGCACAGCATGCAAGCAGGGCTACAGATAAAACTTTCTTAATACAACACATTTTCAAAGTATATAGCCTCCTTTTATCTTGGAATGTGGTAAGACATCTCTCATTTCCTTTCATGGTTGCTATTCACAGTAAAATAGAAAGAATTAAAACTTGGATAAAGACATAGTATAATTAGCTGCCTTCATTCATCTCATAAAAGTCTCACCAGAGAAAAGTATGCTATTCATAATGCTTTTGACAGACATCACTCTATGATAGTTTTCTGCCACATTATCTCCATCAGCACTAGAAAACAAAATCACAGAATCACTATTCACTGTACTGTAATACAAACTCCTTTTCCTTCTTAATGTGTTCATAATTCCTTTACTTTTCTTAGCACATTCTTTAGTAGCGTGTTTGTAAAATGAGTAATGTGTGCCCGCATCAGGATAACCACCACGGACTTCTGCTAAATGTATGTTTTCTTAACCTTCTGAATTGGTTTGTTTTCTGCTGATGAATTTGCATTCTTTCCATTGGCATTCTTCGGTGGAACATTGAGCACAAGATTGATGGCAGCCTTATTGTTTGCACATGGTGGATAGGCAGCATCTGCATTAAGTCCTCCTTCTGTCAATCTGTCAACAGAAAGTCAATATGGTAACAGTGTACGAGTTGTGACAATCTTATGAAGATAACATTCAAAATGAGATTAAGTTTGCTATCATGCGTTTCACATGATTTATGTTCTACGGTCGAAAGAAGCAGCAAACAGAGGTCTGTTTCTATAATGTTATAAAGGAAAAAACAAATAA